GATGTACACAGCTTTGTTGCAGTCTCCTGCAGAAAACATGGTATAAAATGACAAAAAAACTGTACTGTGATGCAGATACAACACAGTAGGGCTGAATTAACATAGCACAAATTTAAATATGAGGATGAAAATATTGCCCATTTCTGAACTCACAGTCCCTGTCTTTTAAAGTTCTATAACTTTTTTCTTCAAGCTTTCCCCTGGAAAGATAGACTAATATTACATGAATACACAGGTATACAACACTACCTTAATATATTTTTCATGGACAAAAGGAATTTATGCTTTCTAACAACATGAATGAAGACTATATTTTTGACTGTCATCACATTTATATTTTACAGCAAGTAAGAAAGTCAATGCTAATATTTATGTTAGTATCATAACACTGTTTCCAATGAAGGCTGAAATATTAATGAGATCTTTAATTCTCTCTTCTCCATTTAAGAAGTCCAATGTGAGTTATCTTGAAGAACGCAATAAAATATTCTTAATCAATGTCTTCTAAAAAAAATGTTAAATTGTAAATAGCTTGGCAACACATTTTCCATTCTAACTCTGCTATAACAAACAGATTAATTGCTGGGTAATTTAATCAGATGGCTTACTGATACAATTTGAGCAAAGACTTGATATGTGTCCAGTGCTCGAAAAGCTGGTGTAAGTTATTCAGCTAAGAAAAGTCTGTCCAGATGGCCCTAGAATGAAGAATGGCATTCAAAATGTTGTTCTCAGAGGACTGGCCAGCTGCATCTAACATGGAAATGCTTCTGTGAGTTTTTAGAATAACATTAAGTGTAATGGAGAATGCTGGAGAGAGTATTTAAACGTAATCCATTCACAATTTAGAATAATTGGTTCAGTTGGCAGAAGTGAATGGAAACTATGTTTTAACAGACACAACTGTTAACACATCCATCTCATACAAGCTATGTCGAGAACTAAGATGCTACGTTTTTGGAAATTACCCTTCAGTTCATCTTTCTACCTAACACCTCTTTTGGCATTATTCAGAAATATGCAGTCTGCAACAAAAATCCCTTTTGAAGTATAACGCATATACTTCCAAGAAATATTTGAGGGTACTTTAAATCTGTTTAAACATTGATAAATATAGTCAGGGCTCAACAGTTGGGAGTAGAAGCTCAAATACATACAGTTGTAGTGAGGAGACAATTTTGGATGAGCCTTTTGTAACAAGATTGCAAAAGAGCTGGAAAAATAAATCAAGTCTCACACATTAGAAGCAGCATGTGTCAGTTTTTATATCCCTATTAAGCTTTTATGTTTCATATTAGCATCTTCCTGGAGCTCATCCATACTCTTCATAGCAGAATTTTGTACTGCCTTCTGACAAACCTGTATTCAGTCCAAGACAGTCTTTTGCAATCTGCCAAAGGCTGAAAGTGTGCTGAGAGAGAAAGCTGAATACTTGAAACTTCCCACCACAGCAAAGAAGGAAATTTAACAGGGCCCCAAGGAAGACCCATTAAGTCTTCATCAAACATCCATCAGAAAGTAAATCATAATGGGCTAGAATTGTACTAAAGAAAAAGCAAACAAAACAATTTTGAGAGTTTCCACTGGGGCAGACAGAATCTCCCAGAGAAGAAAAATGTAATCTTAGGGAATATAGCTAGATTTAAAAGAGAAAAACAAATCCTAAGAATTGTTAATATTATCATAGAAAGTATAAAAATGTGCTTCTACTGTAATTTCTTACAATGAGGGACACATTCTATGATAAATAAAATCTATATGAAATTTTTGTTGGTTTAAATTTTCAGACAGTATTTACATTTCTTTCATTCAGTAACGGCTAAACGAGGACACTTTTAATTTATTTTTTAAATATTTGTATAAATTAATTTATAGAAACAAATTGAGAATAGACCAAAGATGTCAAGAGCTGTTTATTTTTAAGAATGAAATAAATAATGAGTTTTAAAATCTAATACACACAAAAACAACACATAGTAATCTAAAACATTAATTTATTTTGGTATAATTCCAGTCTGTATATAATATGTAATATGTACATTACACATATACATATTATAATATATATAAGTGTAATATAAATATTTTGCCAGTGTAATTAATCCACACACATGGCACACAAAAGCACTATCAAGTAACAATTTTTAAGGTATGAGTAATTTAGATTAAATCAGATGCTGGAAAATTAGGTTTCCTTATGTTTTTTGTCATTTGACACTGCTTCACAGAATTGTTTTGCTAAACAAAATGTAAAGCAATGTGAAAAGGTGGCAAATATAATGCAGAAATACACTGAAAAATGAAATTAATCAGCACTGACTTGTGGAGGTACCTGTTAAGGAATGAGTTCCTTGGCTAGCAGGTGTTTTCCAAAGAAAAGATGTAGAAATCATGATCTATTACTTAAGAAGGAATAAAGTTTTGCTCAACATGAAAGTGTATCACAGGGCTGCTACTTCACAGAAAGGGACAGAAAATTGAAAGGTAGAAAAAATTCTTTCAGAATTCAGAACTGGAAGTTTTTCAAGATGTTCACAGATGAAGTGGAAAGTGAGAAAATGATAAGATTACTATAATTAAAGCTTAATTATTCAAATGGTTCAGAGCAGTAAGTAAATAATGCTACTTTCCTTCCTTATTTTACGCAGATGTATAAGCCTATGTAACTCTACAAAGTACATGACAGCATATCTGAAAATTGTCTTAAAATAAGTTTGGAATGTGAATTACACAGAGGTACTGTTTTTGATCCTATTAATTAGATGTCTGATAACCTGGTGTCTATGTTGGAGAACTGAACTGGTCAGGTAAAGAAAACCACAGTCAGGAGCTCAATCCAGAAGGAAGTTTGGAGGCTAAAGCAGCAAAATAATAGAATAGGGACACCTTGGTTTCTCCCAGAACTTATTAAAAGTTAAAAAAAAAAAAAAAAAAAAAAAAGCGCATTGAAATCTCTTTATTGTACGTTTACTTAACAAAAAAGAAAAAAGAAAGAAAAAAAAAAAGGAAAGGGAAAAGGGAAAAGGGAAAAGGAAAGAAAGAAATCTTTAACAGCTGCTTGTATATGAGCTTTTAAGACTTTGCTCTCTACAGTTGATTTGCTCTCAGAAGCCAAGAAAATGAATGATGAGAATTCAGACAACTGCTTGATTTTAATTAAATTCTTTGGTACTGTTGGTGAGTATTTTTATGTAATAAAGGTTATAAAGTTATAGAAAAATTCAATGGATTTCTGAATACGTATGGAAAATTAGGAGACTAAAACAATCAGTGAGCTAGGAGATAAAGGGATTTTAAGTCTGTCTTAAAAGTCTTACTGCAGCTTCAGCTACACAGTTTCTATAGAAGGTTTCAGCAATACTGATGTCCAGTGTACATGTTAACTCACAAGAATGCCACTGACTTGCATGAAAGAACTGTCAGGGTGATACAAGGAACACAAAGCTGAAATATAATGTTTTGGGTTTATATATATCTATATACATTTTACAAATATAAAATAATTGTATATATAATAATTTCAAAAAATAATTATTCTGAATAATTGTTATGTATAATTATATTATATATTGTTACAAAACTATAATAACTACCAAGCATGCTGATCCTGACTTGGTTTTGTTGAGCTTAAAAAAGGAGCAGACACAGCTTTGGTTCCTGCATAGTTGATCTGTGAATGTCTGGGTGCTCTCAGAATGAATTTGAAGATACCTTCTGCATGTCATATAGTTACTCTTCTACACTGATTTTCTTACCATGATCTGAAAGATGTACATCTACAAAGAGTATAGCAAATTGAGAAACAACTGTTCTATAAACACAGATGTTTTGAGTATATTCAGAATCATAGAATCATTAACGTTAGAAAAGACCTCTAAGATTATCTTTATCTGAGAAGATAAAGGTGAACCTAGCACTTGTGGAATGGCCCTCTTCAAGGTCAAGCAGACCTCAACGTTTTTCACCAACCATTTCACAAATCTGAAAGTCTATGTTGCTGTTAAAAAAAAACAAAACAAAACAAAACAAAACAAAACAAAAACACCTAGCAAGAAAACAGCTTATTAATGTATGTATTTCATATCTGTTGTGCCAGTGCAATTGGAAAGCAAGTGCCTATATTTCTATCAAAATAAAATCCTGAAGTTCTATACAAAGCAAAGGACCAAAAGCTAGAAGTTGTCTAAGATACAGGATGCCTTATATTCACAGCAGAGTGTAATTTCTGAGAGTTTGCTTATTTGCACTTAAGAATGCTAAATGCTGAACTGGTACAAACCAGAGTCTTTGCTGCTTGTAAACAAGTGATGCCATTTTACACAGCTGGCTGTCTGGGTGCCATAAAAGTTCTCCTTATTACTAAATGTAAATGTTCTATCTATAAATTGCAGCAGTTCTCTCCTCAGCTTCTGGTTTTGTTTCCTTTATGGTGAATTGAGCCCCATCTCTAAATAAACAACTCCATTAACAGATGTTAAATTAACTTACAAGAAGAGCTGAACCAGAAGAGAGGCTTATCTACACCATGAAAAGGAAGCAAAAAGCCAGAGAATAAATACCTAAAATTACCAGTGAATTCACTAGGAGACAACAGTGGTTCAAAATGCATTGTCTTACTGGCTGCTGACCTGCCAAGTACCTTTTCCTCTTACAAGAAATTATCACCAGGAAGGTGGTGATAATTTCAAAGGATACCCAGTAACGTCATAGAATGTTGAAATCTCATAATGCATTTCTCAGGTTGAGTGCAGAAGAGCTTCTTTTAGATACAGATCTGTCTTCTTCAATTACCAGTGCAGATTACAAAGCACTGTAGAAATGCCCTCTGTCAATTTAGCTAGCTAAGATATCCTAATTGGTTCTTTTTTAACTTCACCGATGACAGAAAAAGAAAGATGTGCTCAGCAGTCGTAAGTGTTCATGCCTTGGTACTATTAAAATATCTAGCCAGTTCTTAGATTGAACGTAGCTACAGAAAATTCAGTGGTGATATATAATACCTGTTTTTAATGTGCTGGGGAGAGCCAAGACACTTGAAGCTTCCATTCACCATAATAGCAAGTCGCGTGCAGAGGGCTTCACATTCTTCCATACTACAGAGTACAGTGGAAAAAGAAAAAGGGATTAAAACAGGACAAGTGAAAACAGAGAACACCATGTATATCTAAGTCAAGATGGAAGGAATCCGGACAGCTACAAAAACAGGTACACAAAACCTTTGGCTTTAAAGGGAACAGTTCAAATTGTAGCCCTTATCAGTACATACCAAAAGGTATAACCACATTACAGCCAGAAGAAAACCTCAAAACCAAATTTATATTTTTAGTACAGATTTAATTCAACAATTCTGGCTGCAATACAAAGGTTTTATTACTATACAGGAAAATAAATACCTGATAGGCAGCCTCAAATATGTCACTGATGTGGACCATGAACTCTGTTGTTCCCTGTATGTACATGTTTATGATCACTTTGCAGTAATGTGGAGAGGAAGGGGAACAAAGTAAACTTGTTCAGCTTGCCTCTTGCATAACACATCCTCAAAAAGAAAAGTTACCCTTAGCCTGATTGCAGGAAAGAAGAAATTGCAATACACTACAATCCAAAATAGAATTTAGGACATGGAAACACAGCTGAATAATAAAAGCCAGATTCTCTTAGATGTGACTGCTTCAGTTGACAAAGAATAACTTTGACTTGTAAAGCTTAGGGCAGATGGGTTACCCTTCTACATATTACACATAATTATGTGAGCATTTCTTCCAAAGCATTGATTTAGACAGGACATCAGTCAGGATGTATTCATCAAAGAACTGTCTTCTCAAAGAGAAGTTGAAGTTGTTTGATGTTAGTGCAGTTCACTCTGCTTCACCCCCTCTGAGAAAACTAAACAAGAGTCTTGTGTGTGCAGTCCAAATTATAGTGCTTTTTCCGGAAAAGCATGGAGATTAAGTACCCTTCTTAGAATAATTTCTTAAAATGGGACAAGAGTAGGGTGAGAACTGACAAAGAGCAAGCTGTTGCATTTCAGAGACATGGTGAGATGGCCAGCACATCTTCCCATAAAACAGGAAGACAGCTGAGTCATTTTAGCATGCGGTGCCTCCTAATGATTCCATCAGCATAATATTTCCCAGTTGTGGGAAAATAGCACAAAATTAGGCCGGTATAGACAATTAATACAAACTCATTACTCTCCTGCCTCAAAAAATAAATAAATAAATAAATAAATAAAAAAATTAACAATAGACCTCAAAAATTAATTTTTACCCAGGAAACCATTTCTATTCCTCCATGCATTTATTTGCTGGTACGCACAAAGATTCATTCAATAGGAAAAAAAATATTTTACTTATGCAAGTAGCCTTTGAAAAAATCTCAAATAAATCTCCAATGGCCTTCAGCAAATATTATATGATAATTTCTGCCACTTGATACAACAATGCCTTATTAATTAGAAATGAGATGTGTACATTATTACTTTACTTACAACTGCTTCAGCCAGAAGTCATTCATTTGTGGAGCTAAATGAGCAATTAGTAACAATTTATTTGATGGATTTATTTATTTATTTTTCCTGCTCACAGCATGTTAGCAATGAGACCACAGAGCTCTTCTATTTAGCTGGCTTTTGACAACAAAGGGTTCTTAACCTGGACTGAAAAGTCAAAGCACAATTTCCTGAAAACGACTCATCTTAATTCACACTGGATGACTTCTGTTCCCTAAATGACTGAGCTGCTAAACACTTGCTAAACACTCATTCAACTGCATGATTTTGGAGATTCATTTTCCACAAACAGAATTCACAAAACTTCTGAAAGCTTTTTTTTTTTTTTTTTTTTCTCCTAGGAATAATGTACCACTCGTGTACAGGGACAATAAATATAAATTTTGAGAACATCTGAAAAATTTAACATCTAGAAAATGTTGAAGGAAGTTTTGCTGTATACTGTTATCAATTCATCTACTCTCCAAATTTAATTTGGACAAATTATTGAATTGCTGTTTTGATTAATTAGTTCTGTCCTTTCTGGGCATGTTTTCATGATCTCTTCCCTCAGTCAAAGACATTTTGTATATAATTATACCTACTATACTGTATTCCCTAAGGGGACACACAATATTCCAGTCAATTGTAGATGTTACAAAACAGTTCTGATGTTCCATTAAATTGATGCACCAATATTTATTTCAAAGATTTGACAAGATATAGAATATAGATACTCTTCCAAGAAGACAGGATCAATCCTTCCATTTCCATCAATGCATACAGTGAAGAGCTGATGTATCCGTCTCTGTTGTGTCATGATATACTCATTCTATACAATCACACAAAATAAAATCATCGATAAGATCAGAAGGGGGCTTTACATTCCCATCTGCGTTTCTAAGGATTTGAGAAGTAGGCAACTGCAAAACGATAACTTGTGTTCCAAGCAAAAAGTGACACTGCAACACTGAAAGAGCATAGAAAAGGGAGCATTTGATGCATCATTCTTCTGCCTGTAGCCTCCTTGAGCCACAATTTAAAGTTCAACTTTCATGAGCAGGAAGGAATTGCCATAAAATGCCAAAAACTGCTCTGAGTTTCAAACAGGGGTGAGCATGCCTTCAGAATACTCTATTTTTCCCTAAGATGATAACAAGTGAGGAAAAAAAAAAGGGAATATAATGGCAGCTGAAATAAGGGTTTTACCTGTGGGATGACAGCACAGCTGCACAGCCATCCTGAACTTCTTTCAAGATGGTTTTCCACAGGTAGCGCTTAGAGCAAGGATCCATCCCAGAACTTGGCTCATCCTACAGGAAAAATGAAAGTAATTATACAGCAATATGGTAAAAACACAACTCCAGCTCAGCATGAATAATGAACAGAATTTACAATGAAAGAACATAGTTGTCTCTCTAAAAAAGTCCTGCATTTTCAGGAAATCACTAAAAGACACTAAAAATTTTTTACTCAAGCACACTTACATTCATTTACTTCTTTATGAAGTTCTATGTATATATATATTTACAGGAGAGACTTGCAAAAGAAAGAATGATACCTTATTTTTAAAAGTCATTATCTTTCACTACAAAACTAGGGAAAAGAAAAAAATTCCAAGCTGCATTTAATACTCATATTTTCATAATGGGTGTCAGCACCTATTTGCCTGGTATGGTCTTAGCTAATGTATTTTCATCATGGACTCCTAGCTGAAACCTGCAAGTTGTCAAGAACCAAAGCTAAATCATCCCTTCTGATGCTGATTTTGGTGTTTAGCTAACAATGACAAAGGTGAAACAAAATTCAGTTGTTTTTTATCTGTTGAGAAGTAACAAAGCAAAGGTAAAGGAAGTAAAAACAATACTATTGCCTTGGACACATCCATTGATGGGGCATCCACAGTCTCTGGGCAGCCTGAGCCAGTGCCTCACTACCCTCTGAGAAAAGAATTTCCTCCTAACATCTAATCTAAACTTCCCTCCTTTTAATTTAAAGTCATTTCCTCCTGTCCTATCACTATCATACCATGTAAAAAGTCAGTCTCCTTCTTGTTTATAAGCCCCCTCTAAGTATTAGAAGGCCACAACAAGGTTCCCCAAGAGCCTTCTCTTCTCCAGGCTGAACAAGCCCAGCTTCCTCAGTCTGTCTTCAAAGGAGAGGTGTTACAGCCCTCTAATCATCTCTGTGGCCTCCTCTGGACCAGTTCCAGTATATAAAGTAATAATGAGAAAAAGAATATAAAGAAATGATGATGCAATTCCCACAGCTTTTTAATTCCTTGATCTTCAATACAAACAGCATTGCTTAGGCTGAAAAGGCCAGTTTCAGACCTAAATAAACAGTATGATGCAGGCACCAAAACAAAACATAATTCATTTTAATAGCATTCAGGAATATTACTTTGATTAGTGAATCCAATAAAGATATTAAAACTGGCCAGATCTATGAAGCATGATGTAGTAACAAATATGAATTATTTAAAAAATATAGATAAGTAACTAATTACATCAGCATTAAATAATGAATTAAAAACAGAATCTTTCTTCTTGAGGAAGCCACTTTTCTCATGTTGTGTAGAGAATTACATAAATAAAAAGTAGAGAATACATAAATCATTAATATATTCTCTTCTTTACAAACAAATCTTAAAATAAATTACATATCCATTTGGTTCATTGGATGCTACAATTGCATTTGTGCTTGTTTAGGGTCCATTTTCCCTGCCCATGTCACTACCCCCAAAAAAAGAAAAAGAAAGAAAAACTGAAAAACAATTTCAGTTCATGATCTGTGATTAGAGGCAAATAAAACTAACATTCATACAGCAAAGCAAACAGAACAGTTGTACATTTGTGTATCATTATTCTCATTGAATGACTAGGAAACAACCTGAATTTTATGAGAGCAACATGCAAGACAAGGAAATTCAGTGCAGTCTACTTATCATGTTTCCAAAGTACCCACAGTATTATTGCCTTTACTTACCAGTAAAAGTATTTGTGGTTTACCAACTAGAGCCAGAGCAGCAGAGAGCTTTCTTTTTGTGCCAGCACTGTATGTTCTCACCAGTTTGTCAGCGTGGGCATTGAGTTGCAACCGGTTAACAAGGTCCTCTGCTACCTGCCATTTGGAAATTTAAAGGTCATCAAGGACAAGCCAAATTAGGTAGTGATACAGTTTGGCTTAGCAATAGGGATCAACATACTAGTTTAAGGACCAAAAGGAATCAATGTGTACTATTTCTAAAACTTTCCAGTTTAGCTTTGTTGTTATGCGAACAGCCTTGTTTCCCTCGATGATCCTGCTTCACAGAAGCACTGAAGTCACAGTAGAATACTTTTATCTTTGCATCCATAAGGTGCAAGGACTTTTTCTTGAAATGCACACAAATTTTTTGAGTTATAGTGCACCAAGATAGAAAATTGCCCATCATGGCATAACAAGCAATGGGAAATTTCCAAACTGGTGATAAACAGCTAAAGGCCAGCCAAAAGTCACTGTGATGAAGCTGAAGGAGGAAGAAAACGGGAGGGATCAGGTGGTCATACATCCACCATAGATGCAACTGCGCACACCCAGAGGAACATTAGCATATATTAATGAGTTCTTGGAAAAGAACAAAGATGTCAAAAGGATGATTATACCAATGTATTTCAGATATATTGCATATGTCTTAAGTGTTTAAATGTAGAAAATTAAATTTGAGAGCGCTTGCTTGATTGACTGAATCACCCAGTACATTTTGTGTGGAATAAAGGAATACTGGCTTTCTAACACCACATTCAAGTGAGAAAGTTTTTCTTCCCAGATTTCAGATGACAGTAGCATGTTTAGACTGAATAAGCACCCAGTTCACTCTTATTACAAACAAATGTAGAAGTTATTTCCTTATTTTTCCCCATTTGCTGAATATTACTAACTTTGAATCTTAGAGGCACACAAAAATCTGTTCTGGGTTTCTCCTCATTCCCACAAGTATTCCCACATATTTTCCTATGTAGAAAATTTGACTACGTTATTCCTTGAAACAGTCTGTTGCATTTATTTTCTTTTGTCAGGTCAGTAACTTAACAGTTCTTCATTTCACATAGTTCTTCAGTATTAACTCAGCCAAACATCTTTGTGACTGAAAATTCAGGAAACAAAATTCTACATCATCCACAAACAGATGTAAATGGCAGAAAAGCAAATGTTGGGTCAAAGACTGAGTTTCTTAAAGACAAAAGCTAATTTAGAATTAAATAGTCATCTTCTATATCAGGAAGCTCTAACCTAAACCTAGCTCTTGGTTTTAACTGCTTAAATAACCATTTGTGATCTAATCTGAGCATGCACGTGAACACAGCTGGAGACAATGTTCATGCTCTGCAGTCTTTCTTCTTTACTTGCCAGTTCCAATCTACAAGGCTCCCTCAAACATTGGTGTAGGAAGAGCCTTGTGCTCCACTTAGAGCAGCTATAACTGCTAGACTATGCAAAGGCAGGGACACAGAAGTGACTTTCCTACTCACCACTCCCCAAAACAGCATGTGTTTATTGCCATGCTGCTTGGCAGCTCTGTCTTCAAGGGGCAATTAAATTTGCAAAACAACCTGTCTGCTTTATGCTGCATGTAGCACAACTGGGGCATTCTTGTAGAACAAGCAGTCGTTCTGGTGGCCAGTTTGAAATAACAGAGCACCATGCATGCATCTGCTGCAATATGGTGCATTATTTTTAGCTCCCTCTATACTACCTTCAACAAAAAAATCAATTATTTGAAAGATTAGGCAGATCAGATGGACAGCGTTAATTTAGAAGATTCAAAGAAAAAAATATTTCAGTAAACAGTGTTCTGAATTAATATTCATTACTATTCCAAATAAACTACCATAAATATGATTTCATGCAAATTTCTCAGGAAAAAAAATAATCAAGCTATTCATGACCTTTTAAACAAGAATTTCAGTATTATGCATAAAAAATAAAACACATCTCCAAGAGGGAGTTCTTTGTAGGCAGGAATGATGCTGCAGTGGTGAGAATCTGGCATAGCATGGATCCTGGCACTGATATTGCAAAGTAGCTTGTCAACTCTGCATCTTATTTTATAATCTAACAGCATTATAATCTGACAGCAGTTCATGTTCTCAGACAGAAACTACATTTCAAAAACATTTTTCTAAGTATAGTAAGTCGAGAAAGTTCAAGCAAAAAACCTTAATCAACAACCATTAAATCATCCATAGGCTATATTATACTGAAAAGTTCACCTCTTCTGATATTTCAGAGGTAATTCACAGGGGTTTTTTTCTTTCTTTTAGACACTATTGCAGCATACCAGTGCGAGTGCTGCAAACTCAAATATTCCTTAGTTTTATAAATGATTGAGAACCTAAGCTTAATTCTAAGAGCAGTTTGGGTGGTGTTTTTTTTTTAATTTTTTATTTTTGCTTGGTTGATCTGTTTTTTTTTGTTTTGTTTTTTTAATTGTTACATTACTCAATGTTCTGTTTTGTTTTCTTTAGAAGACAGCTTATCCACATCTAAACTGAATTCATTTTACTACCACTGTGTATGCATGCATGCATATTAGTGACAACAGAATTATCCTACCACAAATCCACCAAAAATATGCAGAGAATTGCATAGAAAATCTCATAAAATTTTAAGGTAATATCAGAAAGTGAAAAAACATGTGATCTCTTATTTACACCAAAAAGAACATATATCATATTCTAAGAGGGTTACCTATTGGAGATGCAACATAGCAAAAACAAACATTTAGCTCTGACCAGACCAGTATTTCTAAGACAGCTTTGATGTATCACTACAGCTGTAAGTTGCTAAGCATCATTCTCTAAAAGAAAAAATGCACAGGGAAGAATTTAGAAAGACAAGCAATACTGCCACAAAGAGAAGAGAAAACTTTAAAGTTAAGTCATATTGCAATCTGGTAGCCTCCAAGAAGACTGAATCACACATCAGAAGCTTTTAGCAAGCTGGCTCAGCAATACTTTAAAGTCCACCTCTCCTATTTGTTACTTTTATTTTTACTGAAGGCACAAACATAATGTTCATTGTAGGAAGAAACATTAAAAAGTACCAACTGTTCAAGATTTGCATTGTAATTTTACATCTTCGGTTCTCCCAACTACTTGGTATACACATGAGAATTCAGTGCGCAGATACTCATGACTTAGCCACGTCCTTTTGGGAAAGAAAGTCTAGTAAATTCTCTGCTATGGAAATTTTGCAAGACTAAAGGCACAACAGAGGAGTGGCAATCATTTCACAGTACTGAATTTGCTATTGTCTTGAATGCGTAGAGCTTTCAAGATAAGTAGTTCACTGTAGTTCATTACAGTGCGCACCACAATCTGACTTGATATCTAGATACATATCTTTTTGCACAAAACACATAAAATACAACCAGATTTGGAGCTGAATCACATCAGTGACACCAGGACAGAAGACTTATTCAGCTTTCTTACAGTGGCTTCTCAGCTGCACCTAAAAAGTCACCTAATCATGCAATCCTTCTCAACTCTTACATTTCAAAGCAGCATTGCAGAGTACACATCAGCAAATATGTGAATATAGAGTTCATTCTTCTTACAAGAGATGATTCCAAACTTTTTCTCTTTTCTTGAAAGTATGCCATAAGACTTACTTTCTAGTAGTAACGGCCTTGGCTTCATCAATATGAACTAACTAATAAGATATCATATGAAGGAAATTAGATATATAAGATATACAGTGGAAGAGCCTGCACACCTCTGTTATAATTTCATTTATCTGTGTAGACAGCGGTGTCTTGTGGTTTGCAACACAGTATACCATAACGTAAAAATGAAAATCCCTCTAAAGATATTTTAAATGAAATTCAGAATTGGATATGTGACAAATCTTCAGATACCCACAATTATGCAAAGCATTTACAATTCTAATGGTTTCTAATGTGAGATATATCCACAGTCACCTTCTCTCCCTCCTTGTCATATTCATCATGATGTTCTATTTTTGGTTTCAATTACTTTCAGCAGTGAAGAGTGAGGAGATACATCAATTTATTTAGCAAGTAACACTGAGGTCAAATTAAAAATGCAGTTACATGCAAATAAATGCTTTATGACTGCCTTTGGACCATAAAGAACCACAGACCATAAATATGTTTTTCATCTACTCCTTTCTTTCCCTTCACCTCATCGAGGTAATAATAATAACAATTAGCCCCATTTTCCAACATTCCTTAAGATTATTCTTTTTCTAGCCAAATCAAATACTTTAAGAAAAAGTTCCCTTTTTCCCACATCAATTTAATACTTTCCTCAACTCTGAAATATACATTGGAAAAAGTCCTTGAATCAACAAAATCTAAGCTAGATCACTGAATACTTTGTGCATATCCTAAAGTCTACATTTATTCTAAAAAAGACAAGGTAACTTTAATATTTGCATACATTAATTTTCGTGAGAGTAAAGATTATAGTAGGGATGGTGCCCTCTATCCACCAGAAAACCAAGAAGCACACCTCTGTCACTGAAAAGAAGTAAATGATGCCAGCCACAAAACCCATAATGCTTTTTTTTTTTTTTTTTTTTTTTCCCACTCTTCCAAAGGTACCACTGACATTCAAGTAAATAATAATAGGTACTGAGAGTGACCAGCTAGTATGTTTTCCAGAAAAACTATATAGAGATGTACAGGCTTCAATTTATTAGAAGTCTGGAAATGTAACATATCTATCCTGAGTTGAAAGGATATGAGGAGCAGAGTATTGATTTTGCATACTTTCTGAAAAAATAAATACAATGTGTAAAGCAAACCTGACCTAACTCTGAAAATTCATACCGTACCTAGTACAAATGATAATCAGCATGAGGTAAATTCTAGAGTCAATTGAAAAACAATCGTTCTATCAGGTTGTCATATAGATTAAACATCCTATGTAACAATCAATCATCAAATCCACACAAAACTCAGAATTGTTAGATCCCTTCTTTTAGGAAAATGCACGCTTATGGTCGGAATTCAAAAGGAAGAAAGTTCTTTATCCCAGATTATAAAACTCTACAGTGTAACTCTGCTTGGGGTCTAAAGAAAAAGCAAGAATGAAAGCTCTGTGCAAGCAAAAGGTAATTGCTTTTACAAGTTCCTGTCTCCAGCAGCTATAGAATACAATACATAAGCAAATCAATGAGAGTCCAGAGACAGCACAAAAATGTTCCTGGAGAGAGAATTTAAAGTGAAATCAGAATAGCAAAGCAAGATGCTGCCTCTGAAGGCCTTGTGGAGCCTATTTTGAGATCTGGAACACAAATGCTTTTATACAGATGAGAAGTCCTATGTAATGCTGTATTGGTATTTTATGTTTTTTAACAGATTTTATGCTGTCTTCTGCAACAAACTGAGATATGAAACTTGATGTATCAAGGAAATAAAAATGATTATTAAAATACTATGCTAAACTAGATTATGTCTAAAGACCTCAAATGCTCTATTCCAAACTTTCTAGCCTTGAAAAAAACAAAAAAACAAACAAAAAAAAACTTTCAGAGCAGTTTTGGGAAATAAAGTAAAACTTCACATTACATGAAGCTTAACATTGAAAGTAAATGACCCATTTTTCTCTTCCTTTCCCATTCAGTTAATTATTGTTTTGGAACATTAAATGCACTCAACTTTATGTCAGGCACTTAACTCCTGCTGCTGATAAATCTGTCTAGCAAAGGATTTGAACCTTGAAGTTGGTGCTTCAGTGGATTTCTTCAGAAGCAAGTCATTCTGTAGCTCACCTGCCTGCTTGTCAAATTATTAAAAAATAAATAAATAAATAAAATGTAGGTTGCTTACCACATCCTAATCAAATCCACATGCTCTCTTGAATATTTGTGTGTGTGTTTGTGCTCACTAGCATCAACATTCAGAAAAAATAAGAAGTAGGCAGGGAAGACAACATCATGGGCAGGAGGGAATGAGAAAACAATGGCTTACGTTTCCATGCAGCTGCTATTCCAAAGCACTTTCAAGCTTTTTTTTTTTTAACTTTTAATTTATTTATTTTTTTTTTAATTTTTATTTTTTTTACAGACAACTAAAATGTACACTTTTCTCCAGGCACCATTCATTTCTGGGTTGAAGCACAGCAGCTGTTCAACACTTCACAGCAACTCCACACCACAGGAAGGGCCTGCTGACAAAAACATTTGTTTTCCTCTGAGGTAGCTGCACTTCAGTTGTTGAAGGTAAACCAGAGTAGCTAAATGTTATTTGTGGGAGGCCTTTGATGCCTTAATCACAAGCATATGGCAGGAAAGTCTGCTCTCTCATTTATGCAGACCAAAAACTAGGGCAGCTAAAAGGAAGAACGGTCTCTATCTCACAAATGTGAAACTAAGGTACAAAAGGCTACACCTAGACCATCTAAGGCTCAGAATAGTCTGCCGATTAACAGTCATCTCCCTCAGTGCACCGCAGTAATGTAACTCATCTTAAGTACCACAGAATTGATTTTGACCCACTTGAAGGGGGAACAGTACAGAAATTACCATTCCGTTTTCAGAGCAGCCATTGCAGTACCTTTTTACTAATTGCCAGAGAACACCTGGATCTGAATACAAAGTGGAAACTCATAGGTACACCAATTCTACGTCTACATTAGCAATGTAATGAATAACAGATTTTCCAGAGAGCAAAAATGTCATATGATCTTCAGAGAAAGTATAGGAAGCTGGATTATTCTGGCTCCTCACCAAATACAGGCAGGAGACAGAATCACAGCAGTGTTTATTTGCATATACAGAGAGAGACTCTGCAGACACAGCATAGAAATCTGGTGGTATCTTTTTGGTCATTGCAATCTGGAAGGTTTCCCAGACACCTGAGCTAAGTTCAGTGCAGCACAGAACATGTTATTTATGAAATGCAGGTCCTTAAGCACACCACAGATATGTATCCATTCTCAAGGCTCCGCAATTACGTCCTGATCCTGTTCCTCATCCAGACAGCGTAACTGTCTCCCAAATAGCTGTTGTGGGAGCCTACACTATAGACTCATTTTTACTCCATTCTTCTCTCAGAGAGTCACTATCTGCCTAGCTTCATGGGCTTTGGTCTATTCAAAAAGGGAGATGTTTACTTTGGGGGTGTGTTTGCTGAGAGTAACACATTGTGTATGAACCGTTCTGCGAGCTTAGTGAGAGCCTTGAAATTTATTTAAAACTAGGAAAATCTATCAGTCAAGTGCTTCTGAAAGTTAGACTCTTCTTGTCTTAGAAACTGCTTCGTTTCTAAGGTGTATTGTTTGCACATGGTGTATCAATTGGACATTTAAGACCCTTTGGATCATTATAAGAATATCATAGAATCATAGAGTTACAAGGTTGGAAACGACCTGCAAGATCATCTAGTCCAACCGCCTTCCCATTCCTATTAGTACCAAGCTACTAAACCATATATTGTTCTTTCTTTTGAAGATGATAAGAATAAAAGCTTGAAAGCCGTATTTACAGCATTTTGAAGAGCACTGAGGTCTAGTTAAACTATCTAAATTTTATTCCTGTTTTAAATTGCACTGAGGACCAAAAGAATTCAATAATTATTGTAAGATGTATGAATATTTACCAGCATCCTTTTGAATGCGACCTGGTGTAGGGAACCTGCTTTGGCAGGGGGGTTGGAGTCGATGATCTCTGGAGATCCCTTCCAACCCCTACAATTCTGTGATTCTGTGTGACTTCACAGATCCAGGAGGAATGCCAGAATCTGTTACTACCTATGTGTCTATTAAAGCGCCATAATAATAAATTCTAGTTATGACAGGATTTTAGCCCAACTGTAACACCTGCCTACACCTGTTAATGGAGAAAACAGGTACTCATGGTTGAGGAGTTTAGTGCATTAACAATCATTTATCACATATCTTCTTTAGATCAAGGGAAACATATTCAAGTTATTTGTACTTCATCAGTACTTTGAAGTAAAAATTAATGATGTTGAGTTTAAAACAGCAAACAACTAAATTCAGGACCATAGCATGATTTCTAAGCATCCTGCAGGAAGCATATTGTTAAAGCACTAAGCTAATGTCCAGGCGGGCTCTGTTAAGGTGATAATCCAGTAGAAAGTATGAAGACATTAAGAATCTTTTATTTCCTTCAACTTCTGATCCAGAAACACCCAACTAATTAGCCTAAGGAAACATTCAAAATATTATCTTCCCTGATGTCAAGATAGTAGTTATTTCTGAATATTCTGTTGGGGAAAAAAGGTGTGACGTGAAGGTGTCAGACTCAACAGATAAGGACTGCAGACCATTGGTGGACCCTGAGGTAATAACCAAGAAGACAACAGGGACACAGAAAAAAGTGATGCAGTTTTGCTTCAGAGAAAAGGAAAAGGAAGAAGATAGACAGCCTTATGTAAATTATAAGAACAATCATAGAATGGCTTGGGTTGGAAGTGATTCAAAGCCTATCTGGTTCCACCCCCCTGCCATGGGACAGGTTGCCAGATCAGGCTGTCCAGGGCCCCATCCAACCTGGCCTTAAATACCTTCAGAGCTAAGGCATCCACAGCTTCTCTGGGCAGACAGTAAAGAGTACCACACAGTCCTAGCATTTACACAGGACCAGTCTACAGTCTATACAACAGAAATGGTACTGATCTATCACACTCCAGTTTTCACTTGTAAAGGGAGATGTGCAAGAGACTGGACTGCTTAAGTGCAGGTCAAATCAGAGACTTCCATCGCAGAGATGGCTTCTTCTCTTGAGACAACTCCGTGCCTGGTATTGCAGCTGGAAAGTTTCACAAACTGCTCCCAGCAGGCAGTTTGCATGCAGCCACTGTCTTGTGAAGGTGAAAACTTCTACTAGTTTAACACTGACAGCTATCATTTGGCCTTAGCACACAGGTTTTTAGGTTTTTGTTGTGGTTTAACCCAGCAAGAAGCTAAACACCACACAGCCTTTCACTTCACTCTTCCTCCCCACTCCCAGTGGGATGAGGGAGAGAATCAGAAGAGTAGAATTTGTAGGCTAAGATAAAAATTATGTACTGAGATGGGAAAAGAAGAGAAAATTAACAGTAATTATAGTTATATATATAACTATATACATATACATACATGCACATATAGACACACATACACAAAACAAAGCCAGTCTCTAAAAGCAGCAGCTGCCCCCATGAACAACTTCTCTTAGTTGTACCATTTTTTCATATGATGTCATATGGTATGGAATATTTCTTTGGCCATTTTAGGTCAGTTGTCCTGGTTCTGTGCCCTCTCAGCTCCCTGTGCACCCCCAACCCCTCGCTGGCAGGGAAGTGTGCAAAGCTGAGAAACTGAATTGGCCTTGGCTCTGTACAGCACTGCTCAGCAACAACTATGCCACTGGTGTGCTATCAACACAGTTTTTCTCCTAAAATCAAAACATAGCATCATACCAGACACAATGGAGAAAATGAACTCTGTATCAGCTGAAACAGGACAGTTCTTTTCATAGAAATTCAACAGATTCCTTCAGAGTTTAATCCTATCTCTGAAGAAAAGGTGCATGACTTCAGACATGTGATGCTCCCTCCCAGGTCTCTATGTGTGACAATGAAGTTATTGAATCATTTTTAAATTTCATTTGTTTCCTTTAGATTTTGTGTACTAGAGATTGCTTTTACATTACTGCTATTTCACTATCTTTAGTGATGTTACTGTATTTTGAATTGGCATAAAAGAAAGGAAAAAAAATCCATTTTACTTAGACAAATTAGCAATAATAAAAACCTTATGACTAAAGCGCTTAAGATGAAATATTGGATATTCTCTCATGTAAAAGAGTACCATCATTTCAAAAACTCCATTGCCCAACCTAGCTGCAGTTCCACATACAAATCTGTTCTGGAATTACCTTACAAATATGTTGTTTTGGAATTCCACGCAGTGTGCAGTAATAATAAAGATGTTCCCAACCCGTTAAAAGTTCATCCAGTGCATCTTGCTGTGGACAATAGCCAGTAAGAATGCCTTCAGAGCTAGCGGACAGTATATCCATTTCAGAGCTGTTTAAAGAAAAAACAAAACGTTATGTAAAAAAGACGGTGCTGATTTTCACCCTTGGAATACAGAGCCTTCAAGGCAAGCACAGTTACCTTTTAATGTGTAGGTAAGTGAAGCGATTCAGGCTCCTTACCATCACTTAACACAGCACCACTCACAATCATGGCAAGATTTTTGTCCCTTTCTCAGACTTTTGGGCTGCTATTCATGTTTCACTGATCTAAAGGAATGCAGGTCAAAATAAACAGACCGACACAGAAGGAGCACAGATCTATGAGAACTAATTCTTACTAGGTTTACCTCTCCTATGTACACAGTAGGCCTTGCTCTAAGGAGATGCGCAGGCATTACATTCACATTCAGTATTAGACAGACATTAGTCTTGAGAGGGAGCACATGCTCAGTGTCTGCCTATGTACGTACACATCCATACATGTGTTCTCTAAGCAATAACACACACACACACACACCAAAACAAAAACAAAAACAAAAAAAAATTAAAGCCTAGTAAGCTTAAAGATAATACTTGAAAAAAAAAAAAATAGCGATTCTGATTTCAGGGACTTTGTCCATCTCTTTGTAGCTGTACAGCATGACTTGAAATTGCATTCATTGCTAAGAAGCAAGCTTGATTGCAAGGGTGCCTCATTAGCCATAATGACACTAAATCTATCCTATTTATTCCATCATCTAATCCAACATTCAATGATGCTGATTTACATTTACAGAAAAGACCTGTCAAAATTAAGCTATTTTATTTTAAAAGAAAAAAGAAGTTTTGAAAGAAAAACTTTTTAAAAGCTTCTGAGTTACAGAATGGTGTCATCCATCCCTTCCCCCTTTCATTTTTTTTTTTTTTTAATGTGTCTGATTAAGAAAACTAAATATACGATTAACCACTTAGACACAAAGTAAATGTTTTAAATGGAAGATCTACAAATAACAGCATTAGTGGAAATATAAATTTGTATCTCCTGTTTCTTAACAAGATTCAGGAGTCTGGGGGAAAAAAGAAAAAAAAAAGGGAAAGGGAAAGGGAAAGGGAAAGGGAAAGGGAAAGGGAAAGGGAAAGGGAAAGGGAAAGGGAAAAGAAAAGGAAAAGGAAACAGACACTGCATTTTACTTGGTGAATCACCGCATAAAAATATTTTAATCCTATCAAAAGACAACTTATCATGATTGTGATAAACCTTGCTGGTTACTAATTAGAATGGGCTTTTGCTCTTAATAGCAAAGATGTAAAAATTTAGTACTTATGCAACTTTGAATGGTGCCAAAGAAGTTAACTATCTGCCTATCTGCCTGTAGACATCTTGCTAGATAAAGAAATAGAAGGGGAAAAAAAAAAGAAAAACGGAAGTGGGAACTGTATTTTATCATTAATCTATAACTACTTACACATTATTTTAAATAAGCTATACATAAATTTTTCTCCCAGCTCAGGTTCTAGCCATACCTAAATCAAATAATCAAAAAAAAAAAAAAAAAAATAGTTTTTTAAGGTCAAATTTACCATAAGATATGGATTCAATATTGTCGATCTTTCTGCATAACCTGACAGAAGGTGTGGATTCTTCATTTAATGAATTTTAACACTATAAAACTACAGTAAAATGCTATGAAGGTTCTACTAAATAGAGTGAACTGTATAAATTTTGCTATAGTAGAAAGATTCAGGCACAGTAACAATGCTTCCTTTTTGGTGCAGGTACTCTCCTTGGAGAACTAAGAACTAATTCTGGTAATATGCCAAGTTTAGTCACAAGAGAACAAATCACAGTCAGGGGCAAATTTAGGGACATTTACTCAGCATGAAGTTTCTGTATGGATAGATACATGTAGTCCAGAATGGATCCGTATCACAAAGAACAAAAAATTAGTGTGCATGGTTGCAAAAAATAACAGATGCCTGATGTCCTTTAGCTAGAACTTGATTAGGCAATAGTACTCAGTAAAAACACTTCAGTGTCCTCAGTGTTAATTACACAGATATGAGTTTAGTGCTGTGCTTCCTATGAGGTGCATACAGCCTATAATGAACAAGATCCCACTCAGCAACCTTTAGTTTTCATAAAGAAGAATACAACGAGAATACATCATTTACTACTCTTACTTTGCTTGGTCGCTATCTTACAACTGCATCCATTAGTGCTGACCTTGAACACTTAGAACATTCCCATTAGTAAAGAAATTCTAACTTATGCACTAATGAACTCAGGACCTAACGGTTGCAGAAAGCAACATGAACAGAAGGAAAAAAAAAGTCATATAGATTCTAGCTTTTTATTGAAACTTTTTCAGTATGTACAGTACAACACTTATTCTTTCCTCAGCGATATCACTGAGTAAATGTCCAAAAAAAAGAAAGGATCAACAAGCAGGTTGAGGGAGGGGATTCTGACTCTACTCTGCTCTCATTAGACCCACCTGGCATACAACATTCAGTTCTGGGGCCACCAACACAAGAAGGACATTGAGCTCCTCTGGACCCCCACAAAGATGATCAGAGGGGCTAGTGCACCTCCCCTACATGGAATGATGGAGAGACTTGGGGCTTTTCAGCCTGGAGAAGAGAAGGCTACAGAGGGACCTTATAGCAGCCTTCCAGAACCTGAAGGGAGCCTATAGGAAAGCTGGGGAGTGACTTTTTATAAGGGCACATAGTGGCAGGATGAGGGGAAATAGCTATAAACTGGAAGAGAGTAGATTCAGACTCAATTAAATTATTCACTGTGAGGGTGGTGAGACACTGGAAAAGGTTGCCCAGCGAGGTTGTGGATGCCCCTGTCCCAGGTGCATTCAAGGCAAGGCTGGATGGGGCTTTAAGCAACCTGGTCTAAAGGGAGGTGTCCCTGCCTAAGTGATCTTAAAGGTCCCTTCCAACCCAAAATGTAAAGAGCATTTCAAGTAATTATGGCATTATAGCAGAAAACATTTTCACTGAATGATATGCTGTAAATGACATTTTAAAAAATGATGCTGCTCAATACATTAATTACATTCTTTCTTTAGCAAGCATCCTAATGTGTGATATTATCAGAATCGAATTGGAAATATGCATTCTTATATTTTCTGAACTATAGATTATCTTGCAGCAAAATGAAAAATCTTTTTCTCAGCTCAGAGAATCACAGAATGGCCAGGGTTAGAAGGGACCTCAAGCATCATGAATCTCCAACCCCCCTGCCACACGCAGGGCCACCAACCTCCACATTTAATACTAGACCAGGCTGCCCAAGACCCCATCCAATCTGGCCTTGAACACCTCCAGGGATGGGGCATCCACAACCTCTCTGTGCAGCCTGTTCCAGCACCTCACCACTCTCTCTGTAAAGAATTTCCCCCTGACATCCAACCTAAACAAGCAATTGTTTTCTGCCCTTTTATTGTCAGCATGATAGCATTTTCTCTTTAGGCCATTAATGTAAACAACATGAGACAGGAGGAGAAAAGTTAATTTTAAAGATATAGAACATATAACTACAGATTCCAATTTCTCTCCACCTTTCTGTCCATTGGACAGTAGACTCTATGAATCCTAACGTAATACCCAAAAACTACAGGCTGAAAGTCAGACAAATACAAGACTTCCTGCATCATTATGAAAACATTTAGTATAGGTTATCTTCAGATCTTCTTAGTTACTTTGATTACATATCTTGAGCAGGGTCAGACATGGAACATAAGTTCTTTCCTTCTTCTTGAAGATTTGTTTTTAGAATATATTATTAAGCTTAGTCAATACGTCCATTTACTATTTAATTCCTCTTGTAAAGTGAAAAGCTGCAACAGATGAAACGAACAGAATGTGTCCAGAATACCTTATACATTAAATAAAGATTTACACTTGCAAAACTACATTTTTATTATACTTCCCTGAAAAGGTCAACAGAAAATACATCATTCTTAAGAAAAAAAGCTGAGAGTAGCTCTTGAAGCCTCTAAAATATTGTATTCCAATCTTTTCTAAATACTTTGGTTTCCATTTTTTCTGTGAAAATTGTGATAAATTGTTGTGAACCCTCCTAGAAAAAAAACAAGGAGGTTTATGTAAGGTTGGACTGCTAACCTTTCAAAGTTTTGTGTAAATGATGAAAGATGCTTATCAGCCTTGCAAGGTACTGGGGATAATAAACTAAACTCTGACTGGATAAAACTTCCATTTAAATTAATTCCTTTGCAGATTGTTTTAAAACATTTACTTCCATCCATTGTTTGTGTGTTTTAACACTGCTGAAATCTGATTCCAGCCCTGAGAGCTACCCTGGGGTGACTTGAGCTTTTGTTTGCACTGAATAGAGAAAAAAACACTAGAAATTTTGAGAAATCTTGGACAAAACCTGTTCCTTTCTGCAACATGAACTAGACCTGCAGCTTCCAGAAGGCAAGGCTAATTATTGCAGAGACTGGATTTGCTTCTTGTTTGTCACAGTGGTTACCAACAATGTAGCTTAGGAAGCTGTGGGTCGACATTCATATGCATGACCTCAATTTCAAGGCAACTTAATACCACCAGTATGAGCTGTTTGGCTGTTTATGAAAAATTGTTTCACTGTTGACTAAGCTGCACATTTTCATTCGTTTTTGTATGCTCTTTCTGCAGTGTTTGAATGCAGTTAAAATAAAGGCAATTATATATATTCTACTTACAGTGTCTTCTGCAGAGATAAATTCCATTATTTAGTCAGAATGAAATATAAACTTACAAATTGCAAAAGTAGTTAGACATTCCATTGTACTCATAACTGCACATTCAATTCCATGCATACTAATGCTCAATTAACATTATAAAAAATCAAGGTTAAAATATAATTTCTGTAACTGAAGTTTAGGTATAATTTAACTAATTATACAGACATACACCGTAACAACAACTATCTCAGCCATTATATTGATGCAAATTTATTCTGCCTTTCAAGTAAAGCTATTTGAATTACATTTTTAATTATTAATCATAACTATCAAGAAGTCCAAATTTTATCTCTATAGATGTATCTTACTTTTCCATCTTTGGAGAACAGTTCTTAGGTCCTATGTCTTTGTAATCCAACAGCTGAGATGACTGACTTTTAATTCAGATAGGATGGGGAGTTGCTATCATGGAGGATAGCCGTGCAGAAGGAAATGGAAATTCATAGGAGATAAATTAATTACATACGGAAGACAGCCAAATGCTTCAAGCCTCTTATGAACAAGATTAGGCACACTGTAACTACTTGGACTGTGCACCCACAACAACTGAGTCTGTGCAGAGTATGAACTTAAAGCCTACTCTATTCAGCAGACTACAATGGAGAAGACTGCAAAACAGCTTGAGAAAAAAAAGGCAAACCAAACTACAAGAATTTTGACACTTTGTCTTCCAAGCCATCTTTAGCTGTTCTTAGTTGAAGAAGGCTTTATGATACAGAGTCATTAAAGAAGACCAAGGTTGTAACATGCAAAGGGGAATATCCAATGCCAGTTGTACACTAAAAAACAAGAAAAAACAAGAACTATGGAAACGCTCATGAACATCCACATGATGTTCATGTTTCATTTAGCTGGCTTGTGCAATGGTGGCTATCTAATCACAGAAGTAGAGTTAACCATAAGCTAATCTAAGTCCATTTGTTATTTTCTAGTCACTTTCCTTTTTGCTTTTAATGTTCCTGAACTTTGCCAAAGAGACTGCTGGTACTTTAGTGTCAGTATTTCACCTCCTTTGCAACTTTTAACATTGAGGTTGGAAATATACCTAACATGGAGACACTTTCTTTATATGTTAATTATTTTTTATATTTCATCTGAACAGACATGCCACTGATAATGGCAATGTTAATGAGTTACATAAAATAATTTAAAAAAAGCAAAATCCCCTATGAATAGCATTTTGCTATTACCTTTATAAGAGTGACTATACTTAGGGATAAATTCCCTAATTATTTCTCTTACTGTAGTACATTTATGAGGTCACAGTTGAGTTGTCCAAAGGCACAAAAGTTTTCTTGTAAAATTCAAATCTGATTTTCAGTGCAGTTGCCTGAAAGAGATTCTTCTTACTCCATTCCATACTCTGTGAAACCTATTACACTAATTATCAGGAAAATATACTTCTTTTTTCCTTTTAACCAAGAACTTTCAAGCACTGTTTTTCAGTGAAACAGGAACAGTTATAAATTAAGAATTTTGTGTGTGGAATTATATCAGTTATGTTCTCAAATATTTAAACTAAAATTCATCAGAAAGAATGCATTTGTAGTATCATGTCCTTTAATGTAGAACTCCTAGTAACTTTCTGAATTTAAAAAATCTTATCCAGTCTTTCAGGATAAGACAGATTTATAAGAGTTGTGTTCTTTCCAGTCATATACAACAGAGATGGGATCTTTGTCTATGTTGCTTTCCAAACTACTAATCAGGAATCACTACTAGAGGTAATGTCTCTATGGAAGCTGCTTAATGACATGGGTTTTAAATGAAGAAGACTCTAGACCAGCAAGTGGTGGCCATCAATTGCTTTCTTTGGCAACCTCTCCTCTGCCTCTCTGTGAAATACCAGGCCCTTGAAAACAATATTGGGGTGTAATAAAGAGTTCTTAGCATTATATACTCCTTCAATCATTTACTTCAGGAACAAGTACAACTCAATTCAACTAAAGGCCCTTGGGCATCCAATACACACATCAGACAGACCTATGTTCTACAGTTACATGCAGTTTTGCATTTGTTAAGACATACACAATTATCCGACACAAACAAATCTTTTGAGAGCAAATATCTGAAAGCTGCAGTTGTCTTCCTCATATGGAGTAAATATATTCCTTAGAGAACACGTTCTATAACATAGCAAATTAAAAGAGATTCATATGTCTATTATACTGAAGTTTCTTGGTTTTGGCTCCCAAGACTTAAGTGTTGTAGGTAAAGTTCCGGGACTCAGAGACACTAATTTTAATAGCTGTTCTCAGTTGCAACTAACAAAGATGTAAATAACAACTTAGAGATATCTAAGACTGAATGAGAATTTAGGACACAAAAGTATCAACTGCTACACAAAATATTTCAAATTACCTTTTTTTGTTTTTCCCACTGTTTGGAAACTTGTTATTTGTACCAGTTTCTTGTATTTTTATGTAGGATAAACCTGATTGCTCCTCAGAAAAGGAAATGGCTGTGCCTGGAATTCAACTAAGATAGTAACATCAAATTTTATCACAAGCATCTTTGTACCTTCTCAACAGGCTACAGGTAATTGAGTTGGTTCATAGATCAGTGTGAACCTTTTTTGGTTTTAAGACTATCAATCAAATCTATTCAGGAAAATACATACATATATTCTGCTTTGGATGGATAATTTTAGCAGTGGTCCAAGTGCTAATAAAGGATTCTCCAGGCTGGCTGTGGCTATAATCTATTAAGAGACAAAAAATTTGTCCTCGTTTGATTTACAGTAGTACAGCAACACATTACATTGTGGTTTGCCAGAATGTAATACGACACACAAAACAAAGTCTGGAATTAGTCAGATCTCTACTCCTAGCCTCAAAGCAATTTGCTTTGCCAAGGTTAGCTATAGTGCAACTGCAGCTCCCACTTGAGGTTTACACCTTTACAGTATTAGAACATAGAAATATGGGCTTTACATTCACTTGTCATCTTCTGTCTTCAGCTGTGGAAACCCCTAACCTAAACTGACATCATAAAACAATATCATATGGTCAAAGATATTATAGACATTTAAATGTGACCATCTCCTACGACTTCCTCTCTAGTCTTCTAAATGTGTCAAATTTCATTATCTACATTCTAGTTCATAGTAAATTACATTACATTTTACAGTATGCTTTCATGTTAGATTTTAAAAATACAGTGGGAGAAATCAAAGTAAACACAAGATGGCTAGCAATATAAGCATGCATTATGTTATTATGTAGCACAAATTTCAGCTATTATTCAAATCTATTATTAAATACCAAGAGCATACGAAAGTTGAACTCTCATAAGAATTCTGATCTATGTAGCTACAGGTGCATTAAAACACTCTTGTAAAAGGAATATAAGCATTGTTAAATTGTTTTGTGATTTTTTTGAAGAGATACCTTTAGGAATTCTGATAAAATAAATCGTGTATTTAATAAACCTAGTGTAACTGCCATTAAAATATATTCCTGACAATGAAATATATTCTTATAATTTATATTTGCTTTGAAGTGAATATTAAGATATTAGAATTATCACACCAGATCAATTCATTTTCCTATATATACAGATGTGATATCACATTGTGTAGGGAAATCCACCTGAGATCCCTGAAAGCACAGAAAGGACCAAAGATGAGTCCCATTAAAGCTTAGAGTAACTCTTAGCATCTAAACAAAATTTGGAAGCTTAGTTACTGCCTTGAGGACAATAGCATATTAGAAATCATTACAGATCATTGTATTTCCACAAATCTCAAATCCTCTTCTGACCTCCGTAATATCTTTGTAAACACATTCCAACTCCACATTTCAAAGAACAGCAAATGGTTTTTGTTACCTAATTTTTAATCACTTTTTTTTTTTTTTTTTTTTTTTGTCATTATTGCTTAATGTCTGAGAAAAAAAAATCTGCTTTGTTTTGGGAAATAAATGAAAACAACTACTATCTATATAAACACCGTCTCATGTCACTTCTTAAACAGAATTTTTCATTTTAACATTAAATCTACTGGATCTCTCTTAAAGAAGTGAGAAAATACTGATATACAAAAGCATTTAAATTCTAAAACACAGACATGGAAATTCTCATTTTGGAAATTCCAAAATATTTCATTTAAAATTTTTCTGAATTAAACCCTCACCTCTTCACTTCACCACTTCTTCAAAAGACATATTTTGAAATAGAAATAATTTTAAAAAGAAACTTTAAAATCATTTGTGAGCCCAAAATACAAACTCACAAGCATACATGCAATATAAGGACTTTTTACTTTGGCTTGACATTAAAATAATTTTATCTTCGCAGCAATGTGCTTAGTAAAATCTGTAAATGTTGGTTCTATCTAAGCCAAAAAAGCCATTATTCACTTATTCATCCATCAAAGTTAGCTTCAATACAACTAAGACTATCTCCTATCCTAATTACAGTCTATATTGACTAAATAATTAATGACACTAAACAACACAAGTGCTAGGAAATATTTTAAAAGCATCCACTTGAAACAGTGATCACCATTCTAAGGCTGGAAACATTTCAGTGCAGAATGGAGAGATGTGTCCATTTATCTGGACATAGCAAACATGAAGATTTTTGTTACAACTAAGACTTACTACTCTTTTGCTACTAGATAACTGCTGTCATAATCCCTGCCCTTCCTGATGAGGCTTGACAGTGATGATGCAATATACATTTAAAAGGGAACAAAATAGGTCTCTATACTACAAGTAAAAATGATGGAAGACTGCTGAGTCTTTGATCACTGGCATTATCCAGTAGCACTATTCTGATCCAACCCTACATTATTTACCCTGTAGGAGTTCGGATAACAGCACGCCCTGCAGATGGAATGATATCTCCAGTCAGCATCTTAAACGTTGTGCTTTTCCCAGCTCCATTTGTTCCCAGGAGTCCAAAGCACTAACAGAGATTTAAAAAAAAAAAAAAAAAAAAAAAAAAAAAGAAGAAGAAGAAGGATAAGAATTGCTCTACTACATTGTGTTAGCTCTTCAACAGCTATTTTTTCATATTTCTCGTCTTGTTTGTAAAATATTTAATATGATTGTTTAGTATGTGCAATTCCTTTTTCAACAGAAAATAAATTTCAAATAAAATAAAATGCTTTGATTACCTCTTACGTTCCTACCAGTGACTTATTTAGTATTCTAGCCTTCCACTTAAAACCCTGTTCTATAATTTAATGCATTAGTTATCAATTTTATTATAAAGTGCTAGATTTGAACTTGAGGTTTTCACATCCAATTTGAGAGCCAGTCTATAGAGTCAATATTTCTCAGCTGTTTCACTTTATTCAAGTTAATGAACAGTGAACATCCTAGATACTGACTCCAAACAGAGCACCGCTGCAAAGAATACATTCTTAAGTTAGGGCAGTATTTGTATTAAGACTAAAAATAGCACTCCATAACTTTTAAAATACTTGTTTTATTATCTGTTTTAGTGGGATGATTTCAATATGAGAAATACAATCTTGCCTTGGGACAAATTCAGGATCCTATTGACAGTTTGCAGTTGAGTTAGATATTCTTTGCTTTCTCTTTGGACACTGATCTGCTTTGCTACCCCCTGGTATTTTATTATGTTAGCTAATAAAACATTAACTTACTTAAGATAAACAAGACAAAAGAATTAAGACTCTGATACAGTGTTGAATAATAAAAAATAAAAATAAAAATAAAAAAACCATGCATACTGTTGCTTCTGGAAGACCACCAAAAATTCTACTGCTATCAAGTTATTGATTTTCAGAAATTGCTGCAATTAAATTTGTTCTACTGCTATCTACTGTACTTTGATTGCAGATATGCAGGTCCAAATAACTGTTCAGAGCCAAGAGTTACTCTGAAAGAAAAAAAAAGTCCTCTTTACCTCTCCCTTTGTTATTCCCAAGCTTATGTTTTCCACAGCTGTGTTCTTCTTATTGAAACCTCCGTAACACTTCGTGAGATTGTACAGAAGAAGGACATCATTACCAGTTCTTCCCCCAAAAAGTCGCTGTCGCTCCATTTCTACATCAATATCTTCTGATGGGTTGACCATGCTGTTAACTGAATGCTGACTCCTAAAATAGAAGGTGACAACAACTTGGACATTACTATACTCTGAATATTTCCCTGATTGCAATCCTTCAAAGGTTGTTGATTCAACCTCTGCAGAATTCAAGGGAGACAGCAAGTACTTGTGTTTTTTATACATCATGTACATGTTTAAATTTTTCTCCTTCCTAAAACATAGCTGTACTCTATTACTCATAAGAAACAGCAACTGGGACTTTAGACTCATTATAAACTCCACATTGAAATAGTACTTAAATCAGAAAAGGAAATCCTTACTTCAGAATGGGAGCATGAGAGCATAAAATCATCAAATATTTTAGTTCAAATAACTTAGAAACAACTAAAACAGACCCCCTAAATGAATGGGATGCTACCATTTTCTTACTTTAAAAATTAGTTAACTGTCCACTATGGCAGAACACAAACGATAACACACACACCTTGGTTTCTGGAGGAGATCCCAATGGAAAAACAGCCGTAAAAGAAGAAGAACTGTTCCCTGTAGGGCCATTTCCACAAAAATCCAGCCCAGAAAATTCATTTCAAAAGGGCTTACATACAAATCTATTCCAAAGTTGCTGGTTAGGTCAAATTTGATCTGGTTGTATGAAAGTTCTATTAAACCTTGTCCTAAGCAGAATTGTGGGAATATGATAAATGCCCATTTGAGGATCTTGTAGATGTTCTGAAAACTCTTAAAATTAAGCAAGAAAAAGAAAAAAAAAAAAAAAGGAAAAAATGTGAGTTTTTTCTAACCAAATATTAAGGGCATTCACTAAGCTGGATGCAGCATTCAAATCTCACTCAAGGCAAACTGATTTCAGCAAAACATACTGTGAACTCTTTTGAAACAATAATCATCTCTTACTGTGTTTTAGAGTATCTAAATTTTAGAATGTCCACAGCTGTGGAATTCTAGTGTAGGTTGACATTTACAGTGACAGAATAGACACATGGCTGTGATCATTTCATTTATTTAAAATATTAATATTTGAATGTTATTAATTCTAAATCATCCACTTAACACCAAGTCAGTGTCCTTCCAAACTTGAGTGATGTATAATCTGTATTTGACTTCAAACAGCAAGTTTTTTATCTAACACATGCATAGGCAGTCAAATACGCATTCCGTTTTTTTCTTCATCAGGTTATGAATAAAGAAAATTAATTGTATATGTAAAGTGAGAATGCATATTGCGACCCAAACAGTGCCTAGAAATAAGCAGATTATCTCTTATGTCAATACTATTCAAAGACATTTTACAGTGTATATAATCTATTCAGATGGATCTGAACAGTCCCTATTATGGCAAATTATGACTTAATTCATTATTACAGTACAAGCTACATCTTTTTTTTTTTCCAATTATAAGCAAGTCAAAACTCAAGATAGTAATAAGCAGAACAGCATATATGGAGATTTAAAAAAAAATCATGCATGAAGGTTTAAAATGGCTAAATTTTCTGCTGGAAGCTATCTTGTCTGTGCACATGGCAATATATATACAGACACATCCATATATGAGGGCTTCTCCAAAAGTAATGCCAACCTTTGTTTTATTTCTTTCCTTACCATTGGCCCACAACATCAGAAGCAGACATTGGTGCTATGGCAGTAGAGACTGAACCTTCCCACCAATATCCCACTACATTTTCTTGCTGTGACAGACGGCAGCAGAGGGGCAGTCTGACAAAATGGCATCTGACATGAAAGCACAGATTAAACAAAGGCGTGGAACTGAATTCCTTCATGCAGAAAAAAGATTGCACCCACCAACATTCATAGTCACTTGCTGAACGTTTATGGAGACCAAGCAGTGCATGTGAGCACAGCGAGGCAAGGGGCGGTGTGTTTCTGCTGTGGTGACATTGGGTCACCTTCAGTGGTGCAGATTTTCAGAAGTGTGGCATGCAGGCCATTGCTGTCAAAAGTCTGTAGCTAATGGTGGTGGCTATGTTGAAAGACAGTGTTTCGTAGCTGAGAATTTGTTCAACCAAATAGGGCTGTTGTTCTCTGTTAATCTGTTGTAGTTTCCATGGAAATAAAGAGGAGGCATTACTTTCAGAAGGACCTGTGTACATACATAGGCATGTACACATAAAGATGTGTGTATACTTCTCACTTACGGTAACACAAAGCTAAGGTTTCATTCTCACCTGGACTTTGGAAATTATAGCTAGCAAACGAGGTAGGAGAGTCACCAGCATGGTACAAAGGCCAAACACAAAGTTTAAGGAGATGTAAGAAATAAAAGCTACATCTGAACTTGAGAAGAATCTGGATACAAGATACATCCATGGTAAAGTTGCATATCTGAAATATTTTTAAAAGAAACAAATCTATCACAATAAAAAAAAATTAAGAAACTCTTTTGATAAACTGAGAAAGATATTTTTTTATCTAATCACTTTATGATTCTATAGACGTACACATATTTACTGCCCTAAGATGGGCAGACATGAACAATTTTTGCACATTTCAGCTATATATATAAAGCTTTACTTCCACCATTCCAGAGTTCACCATCTTGATTTCCAAATTATTGCAGAACCATACAATAATTTTTTAACAAACATTTTCTCACATATGAAACTTAAGCACAAAGGATGGATGGAAAGACTTTCCTTTCCCACTGTACTATTTGGAGACAGATCTTCAACCAGTTCAGTACTCCATGTTGGACAGCCATCTCACTGGAAATATAAGTTGCCAGAGATGTATAAAACTACAGAATTAAATAAAACGGGTAGAGTTGTAACAAAGTATTGCCATTACTCTTTTTTGTGATGATCTTCTGCAATGCTAAGTACTAAAATTCTGACCCGGCTGTTATTATTCCCTCCTTCCTGTAAGGGAGCATACAGTCAATTTCTAATGGCAAATGATTGACTTTTACAGTTCTTTTATTATTTCCTGAGTGAGCAAGAAAATTCCACCTCCTTGCCCTTTCATGTCAAACTTTCAAACTCACATTTCAGTCTGTTTTCTCACTATCTTTTGAAGAATCATAATCATTTCCAAAGAGAGAAAACCATGCATTCAGCAGCAGGTACAAAACAAATGTAAAAATTTCTCTTTGTTTTCTACAAAACGTAATTCCATAGTAGCACTTCCAATCACATACCCAAAGAGAACCAGCAGGATAACAGTGGCTGCCAAATTGTTTCGGAAAGTGAAGGCTGATAGCTGGAAAGCAGTAATAACACCAACACACAGGGTGACGGGAAGCATATAAAACAGCTAGAAATACAAGAAAAAAAAGAAAAAGGTACTTAGCAGGTAGGCATTTTTTACTGGTCTTCCTTAATTAGCATAGAAGAACTCTAAAAATTAACGTTTCCATATCTGAAATATAATTATACTCTGAATTAGGAAGTATCAGGCAGAAGAACTCTGCTATTTCATAGTCCAATGCTGACTGTGAAGCAGTCTCTCTTATATATGTACACATTAGATTTACCCTGACAAAATAAAATCCATCTAGAGAATATTTCCCCTAATTTCCATTCTATTGACCTTTCCAATGTATCCTTTTAACAAGCTAACCCTTCCAGATAATGAGTCCATATGGGACTATTGCTCCAAAACAACCACTTGTATTGTGAATACACTGTCTTGGATCCAGAAGGAATAGTTTCATTGATTTATATATCCGTCACAGGAGACCAGTAAGAACACAACTTTGAAAGAGGCGTTAATGAAGGACTGTATGTGTTGATGAAGCCAAGAACTGCTTTTTAATAGGAACAGGTGTAATATTTACAAGAGTTAAAGGCATTAGGCAACAGGGGAAGCAGTTTCTGTTTAGTCTCCTGAGGCAATGCTGAATAGTACTGAATAGCGGGGGGATGTGAATGCTACAAAATGTTCATATCCAACAGACAAGAGAGATGGGTTCTGCTCAGATCAAGCAAAAGCAAGATATAAAAATTTGCACCCTGCTCCATTCTCAGCATCTGTCCTGTTCATTGAAGCTGAGTTCCAAATGACTGCCTCCACTCCTATGCTACGTAACAGTTAATTTTATCCTAATATGCGAGGGCTGCTCCAGAAGTAATGCCTCCTATTTTGTTTCTTTTTTTTTTTTTCTTAATGTTGGCCCACAGTGTCAGAGGCAGATGCTGGTGCTATGGCAGTAGAGACTGAACCTTCCCACCAATATCCCACTACATTTTCTTGCTGTGACAGACGGCAGCAGAGGGGCAGTCTGACAAAATGGCATCTGACATGAAAGCACAGATTAAACAAAGGCGTGGAACTGAATTCCTCCATGCAGAAAAAAAAAATTGCACCCACCGACATTCATAGACACTTGCTGAACGTTTAAGGAGACCAAGCAGTGCATGTGAGCACAGCGAGGCAAAGGGCAGTGTGTTTCTGCTGTGGTGACACTGGGTCACCTCCAGAGGTGCTGATTTTCAGACGCGTGGCATGTAGGTGCTTGTTCATTGCTGTCAAAAGTCTGTAGCTAATGGTGGTGGCTGTGTTGAAAGACAGTGTTTCGTAGCTGAGGATTTGTTCAACCAAATAGTGCTGTTGTGCTCTATGTTAATCTGTTGTAGTTTCCATGGAAATAAAGAGAAGGCATAGCTTTTGGAGAAGCCTACATAGCTTAGTTTCTGAGATGAAACTGCATTAAAGGCAACTAATGATTATTCTAGCTAGATACTTGGTGTTGCACAATATCCTTAATTTAAAAAGAGACATTCATACTGAAACACAATGCAAACCAGTCCACACTTAAACCAAGGGCATCATTTCTTTCTTGGTGGGAAGACAGACATTTTTAAGGGAAGGATAATTGAGCAATATTTTCATCTTGATCACAATCTATTTTATGGCACCACCAGTGGCATACATAAATATTGTACAATACTTCTCCACAGATCTGGGAGTCAGTTATTCTGGAGCCATTTAAGAAACATGGCATAGAAGTCACAAAGCATCTGAGACTAAAATATTTCAACAGATAAATATGTTTGATTTCTTCTTCTGGAAAAACACTTTTAACATTCCATTGTATTACAAAAATATTTTCCTGTACTTTGCCCTTCTAGTGAAAGAAACTTAATCTTAACAAAACATTGCAATCTGTCATAAAATTTTTCAGGCACTTAAACTTTTCCTATTTGTTGAACACTGCAATGAATACTATTCTCGTGCATAAATATATTAGGAACAGCCTAGTGACAGTAGTTTCATAAATCAAACACCTCTGCAGGTCTAGTAAAGATTATGCTACCAATAATACAGGACAGAGCCTGAAATGCTTAAAATGTGTAGAGAGTTTTCAGATTTGACAGTTCATACATTCAGGTGCTCAGTGTCCCTAGATGATCTGCAGCGCAATTAGCATTTAAAGTAGTGTCTGTTCTTTCCTAGATCATGATTGATCATGCAGTACAATGCTGAATTTGTGAGAACATTTTGAAAGGAAAAGGTTGGCAGAAAATAACAAGGAGCTGACTTCGCTGCACAAGGAGAAACTGAATGATGAAGAAACAAGTCTTCAACCAAGCCTTCTTACCTGACATGGCAGAAGAGAGAATTCAAAGATTGACTGACCATGTAAATAACTTTTGGATAAATGTGCTCTTAATTCACGCTTGCTCAAGTGAGAAAATCCCGATTTCAAGCATGGATGGGTGAATCTCTAATGTTTCAGAATTATAAAAGTTTGAATGAGAATGAAGAGCATTCTGAAAAATCTTTGCTCTTGAGAAGGCCAATTCATGTTTGCACTGCCTGTGCTAAATCCCAGACCTTCCTTCCATGATCTTCTAGTGGGTTAAACAAAGATTTCTATCCCTCCTCTAGGGGCATGAATCTTTGCATTACTTTTGAATAACCCAGATGATTCCAATTGCTCATTATTGCTTCTGAAAAAAACTCTCCTAAGTCAAAACATGTTCTCATTCAAAGTTTCCTTCTCAAAACAGTTACTAAATGAACAGTAAATATGCAGCAACTGAGTTCTCTAAAAGCAGGAGTTTTTACATGAATGGATGTCTTTATACACAATCCCTTCCCAACACTCAGCTGGTACTATAGCAAGGCTTTATTACAGGTGACCTATGAAACAGTCTTTCAGTGGTGAACATATATACACATATGCACACACAAATATATACATAGAAATGGAAAAAAAAATTGTCTTTTGTTTTTTAAAGAGCCATTTAAAAAAAACATATTTGAAGAACATTTGTGGAATCTTTGCTCAAAGGGAAGCCAGAGGACTTTCATTATATAGTTGGTGAAGTCAGTGACTAGGAACTACAAGTTCATTAGTTCTATTTCACCACCTTTGTTTATTGGTCTGAAAAGAAATCAGCTTCTTAGACTTAAAGAACTTATACAAAAACTCCTACTTTATTTAATTTTGTTGGCATTTATCTGATGTAAAAATCAGGTATTAGTGGCATTTCTATCTTTACATTTGGTTAGGTGGGTAAACTTTGTATTTTAAAAGAGAATATTTTGAGTTTTTCCTATTAATAATCTGCATACAAACAATACTGTGTCTAATGTAAAAAAAAAAATGGTAGAAAATACTTTGAGAAAAATAAATTTACAGGACAAAGAATTGTCCATTTCTGCTCTAGGTCACTCTGTGAAAGTGAATTCATATGTAAGACTTCTACTGTCTATCCTGCAAGAAACAGAAGATACCAGGAGGGAATACCTCTCTTATTATCTGCCAACATATAACAAAATTAAGCCTTTAATGTGGTTGGCTATTATTTCCAGGTTTCTCCCATATTCTGAAGGTTTTTGCCAGTGGCAGCTCAAAGCACTGAAAGTAGAATAACTCCTGCCATGAACAGCTGTGTGGAAGATACTCTCTGTCTGGATTGATCAACTTGTATCCATTTATTTGTGAAATAGTACAGGTGCCTAAAGCTAGCATACACTTCAGCTCCTTACAATTCCACTTTGGAAAATGAAGAACACAATCTCTGCTTTACAGAATTTTATCTCAGTACTGAAGTAGAATCAGTGTCACAAAATTAAACATGATAGCCAAAAGTTGTTGCTCTACACAATTAAGATTGTTTTCATGTATCTTATGGACATAATTTTGCTCATTTATATAAAACTAATTAAATATTCACAGCGAAACACATGCTGCCCCCTAAAGGATACATACCATATCACAGCAGAAATTAGCAAGCCAGTACGTTTTGTAACCCAGGCCAGTGATGTGTTGCAACCGTTTAGTACCAGACACTCTGTCTTTCACTATGGCACTGCCAATGAATGCGGTGAGGATGGAGAAACCGAGCATGATACAGAGTGCTACCCCACACTGACGAACATTTTCCATTCTAGGATACAAAGCACAATGGTGTGATGAAAATACAGTGCAAAAAAAAAAAAAAAAAAATTCATCATTTTCAAACCCAACTCTACCAAAACAACACTACACATTAGGACCTTAATCCTGTTTGCAAAGACCATGTTTCTACATTGTCAACATCTCATTAGAGAACAAGCTCAAGATAATGTGTTGAATTACAAAAGTAATATACACAAGTCACAGAACACAGCCTGTGTTTAGATGTTTTAATAACAAAGTGAAGCTTTTGCAAATATTTCAACCTTTACAGAACATTAAAATTAGGAACAATAGTTTACTTAACCTGTCTGAGAATGTCAGAATACACTCAAAACACTGTGTAAAGTGCAGTCAGGGTAAATACAATATTTTTCTGTAGGAAGCATTGCACCCTTATTTGATACAAACAGTGGACAATGTATAAACAGAAAACTAGAGGAAATGCTTCACTCAGTGGAACTGAGTTGAATCCATCAGGTCATACCTGTTTCATGCAACAAATAAACTTATTAAACTAACAGCTTCATTTCTCTATTCATTGCAGCTGTTATGTATTTTTTAAGAGTTTGCTCACATTTTGTCCTCATCCAGCAAGGCTCCTCCGTATGGTTGGCTGTAGAGTGTGATCCCTGAAAGAAGAAAAATTATGAAAAATAAAAGCTTCATGAAGTATTTAAGTTCTAGAGTATACAGAATTTGGAAATTCACAACAGTTCATTTCCTTTTTGATTTACAATGATACAAGCAGTCCTGAAACAATTCAGGTGAAGCATCAAAGTAGAAATAAAACTTACGAAAACCTGTATTGAAAGAAAAAGAAAGAAGCAAAGCAGGATGAAATGAGGAGCAGGACAAAGAACTGAAAGAAAGTGAACTGCAGCCTTTGCACTTTGACAGACAAAGAAGGTTGATCTTCCATTTAAACTCTCACCTTGCAAGATCTTCATTGTCCTTGGGAGAAAGGGGGCTTCAAAGCAGCAAAGTGTGCTTGCTATATTTTTTGCTACCTCTCTTTGGCTGTCATGGTGAAAGGAACATATTCTGGACCTGCTACTTACAATTTCACTGTCCAGAACCAGGATTCAGTTCTACATTACCTCTCCTTTATTTGCAAATTACAAAAACACAAACAAACTATATTTTGCAAGTATCTTTTTCTTATGCTTTATTCAATGATAGTGGGAATTTTCATCTCCTTGTGATTCTAAACTGTTTAAAACACAAAATTGAGCTTATAAATTAAATTGAAGACTTTCTGTATGTAATCCAGAGAAGACATCAACATAATTATGACTGACAGAAAACTTAGTTGCTTTCCCACACTAATCTTTGTTCTATTTTTTGATAAAATATCACCTGAATATTTAGGACAGCTGTGCAATCATACTACAATCTATTTGCTTCTCTTTTCTTCCTTTTGCTATAAAAATGTTAATTTTCAATATAAGAACATTAAATTAAATTTTCTCAAAATATTGTGAAATTTATTTTTTTTTCTATACTCCAGTTTAACTACTGGTCTAAACAAAATATCATTTCTAAAGCAAAAGAGTAGAATGTCTAAACATTTTTACTCAAGAAAAATAAACTGAACTAGTGCTGGGAACTGACCAGGCTCTTGACAAAAAGTTAAAATGTGAAATTCTTAAATAATATCAAATAGCTCTCTTTTCAGTTGTATTTCAGGTTCACAAACTAAAATATTAGTTTCTATTTGATTGTATATCTCTTGTCTGTGTCAGAGTGAGTAATGTGGGGAGAGATTGAGGGAAATTTTTTACTAATTTTGAGCTGAATCAATGTCTTCAACACTGGCCTCATCCATCTTATTCCCATCATTAGCAAGAGATCACCGTTTGCACCTATAAGAGACCTTTTTCTCTATGAAATCTCATTATAAGAGATGAATGAAAAGGCTAAATACTTAATTAACAACAGAAAGAGCTCAATCACCAAGCTGTCAAACCAAATACTGTATCCCTCTGAGTAATTTCCAGAGTCTGGATCTAATAAATAAACATAAGTACTAGTTGCTTTTCTGCACTCTGAACTGCAGAAGTAGGTTCAACAGTGTCATGTATTGCTGCAGGATCTGTACCACAAAAGAGACTGCTGTACTATAAATACAACCAGAAATCCTTAAAAAATATTGGATGAAGATGTCTTTAAAATAAATTTGGCATGTTCTCAATTATAAAAAAATAAATCTATCCTAACATTACTATAATCTTCCAAATATCTTTGGCAAGGAAGTAAATGAGTTGTTGTCTCAGATGAAATCTATGCAATGCCACTTATTTGAATACACTTTGTTATGTTTTGTTAGCATCCAGTTGCATAAAGGTTGTCTCAATTCCAGTAATAGGTACAATCTGATTGAGTACATAAATGCTTTTATTTTTGCCCCTTTAACTTTTCATTCCTCATTTTAAAGACAACATAGTTAAAAGATCACTAAGCTACTGTGGTGTTTAAATCACATCGGATGATGATTAATTCACATATGTAACTACTACAAGATGAAGATTTTTCAAATACAAGTGAAAGCTGTGCAGTGAGGCCCAAATGGCCTTAAAACTGGGCTAATAAAGTTTTGGTTCCGCTAATAAATGCAGGTGCTAATGTAGATGTCTTTCATGTCTTTTGCCTGGAGAGACCGTTTAAAATTTTCCTTTGTTTTATACCACTGATTTCTTAATTAATAGCTGCTATTTGTTGTGATGTAAAACTTAACAGAGATATAGAAAACTGTTTTTTCCACTGCATACAAGCACTAGGTGAAATTCCATTTGTATAAAGGAAAAGTCACATGATGGAAAAGAGTTTCATTCCCAGAAAGTTTTTCTAGGCTTTCTCAATGGTTGAAGTATGCATATTAAAAGAATGACTTTCATTCATATATATGTAGGGATTCCTATTGATTGAGAATTAACAGTCAAAACTAGAACTAAACCAGATTTTACCATGTATACAGAATTAAACTTGTCTGAGTGTATTTTCAGATCTGTCAGATGTTGACCTGGCTTCCGTAAAAGTAATGCCTCCTATTTTATTATGTTGGCCCACAACATCAAAGGCAGATACCGGTGGTATTGCAGTAAAGGTTGAACCTTCCTGCCAATATTCTATTACTATTTGCTGATGCAGCAGAGGGGCAGTCTGACAAAATGCCATCCGAGATGGTAGTGCAGATGAAGCAAAGGTGTGCAATTTAATTCTTCCATGAGGAAAAAAAATTACACCTCACAATGACATTAAATATTTCACAAAGAAAAGCTTCTGCTCATAAATATGTAATGTGACAGGAAGTAATCTCTCTCCTGAAATCACCATGGTTTGTATTTTTTACTAAATACACAGATACCAGGGTGAAGCTATCAAAACTTTCAGACTACTACACTGCTGTTATGCAGAAAACTACAGCAGTTGTCTTGGATCCCGTGCACAGAAACATACTGCTAAACTCTCTGCCACAGAATAGAGACTGAAAAAGAGATGCTGGGATGTAGAAAATGGTGGGAACAAACAAACAAACATACTGTTCCTTGAAGGCTTGTCTCATATAATACTGACCAAAAAGCGAATTACACTGCATACCCTTCTATGGAAGAGTCAAAAAAAGTTATTACTCTTCTTAATAGTAGCAACCATTTTCTACAATTAACTTCCATTCAAAACACAGAGATGAAAAAATGGATTGCATTTTTGAAAATTTATACACAACTGAGATGAAACATACCAGGGTTGCTGATTACAATTAACCAAAGTATGCTCTTATTATAAGCAGTCAATTCTGTTGGAATCCCAAATCCTATCAAATTATGACATAAATATAACACTAGTTTTTCATTCATTATTTTAAAATTTTCAGTTAGTCTGGAGCATAATTTTTTTCTCCATTTGCTAAAATTCTTAGTGTATCAATATCTCCTCCTCCATTTAAAAGTTGATAATGAATTTACAAGTTTGTAATTCTTAGAGGAAAAAAGTTGTCTTGAGTCTATGGAAGAGAAAATCAAATGGCATCATTCAAGACTAAAGTAATACTGCATTTCTCATTTAAGCCATTATATATCACATGTATTATGTATTTCTTTATTAAAAATGAACTAACAAACACCTTTATAATTCATCTTTTCCTAAATTTCTCCTCCTATCCACCTAGACTCTTTTTTTACATATTCCTCCATCCCAACATAGCTATTAGCATGATGTAGAATGTGCTTATTGATGCTTTCTTGCCTTTACGTGCATTCTTATTATGTAAAGCTGCTGTAGTGGTGCTCATTAAGTTGAAAACTAAACATCATCTTCACGATCTTAAATTAAATTAAAAAACAAAAAAACCAAATAAACCAATAAACCAAGAAGTTACAAATGACAAAATTCCTATTGAACAGATGTATGTGGTGATTACATGATGATTATATTTTATTTTAAGGATTTTATTTCCAAGCCTTTGGATAAAAATTTTACCAGCACAGTGTTCACTGGGGAAACACATATGACAGTCAGTATCAACAATGAAATGATTCAGCTCTCATTTTGTCTGTATAATTACATAAATTTCTAAATATAAAATGATTACTCTCACATTGATAGCTTGCCATTAAACTCCCCTGACTTAACTGCAACCAGAAATTTTTCAATTGCCTTAAAACATCCTTGTTCTTGGCACAGCTTTGGTCACATTATTTTTATAGTGACAGTTTAGATTTCTTCATGGGCACAAGTTAAAAACTGCCATAACTACTAGTTCCAATCTTTCCAAAACCCTGCATAAGCAATTTGAAGCAATGAAAAATGAGATCATGGACAAAGCTATATCAGGGTTTTAATGCTGTATTCAAAGAGTAAGTAAACACCATGATGTTAAAGTTTTTTTAGACCTTTAAACTTCTAATATAAAAAGGAATTTCTTGAGAAATGAGACACACTATTTCCTTGTCCACAGGAAGGTGGAGAAGTCACCTCAAAGTAAGAAATATGACTGCATGCTTGTAAACTAATATTTTTATGTTTATAATTCCAAAAAGAAATAAAGATATCAGTCCCAATGCACCACAGACTACACGTACAACACAGATAACTACAAAACCATTTTTGTTGTTGCTTTTCAATTTATTTGTTCATTCATTTTAAGGTAAAAGTCTCAGTTGCTATCTCTTGTACTGCTCAGTGAAAGACTTAACTTTACACAATTGAGAAAAAAATAATTATTTTTATCAGTTCTTCAATCCGCATTAGTTTGCAAAAAATAGGTGAGTGTACAATGCTTTGGAAGTCTTTTCTCTGTGTTTGCTAAATAGAATGTACTATAAAGACGTGCAAAAGAGACGGGAGACATTTTTAGAAACTGTCCATTCACAACAAAAGGAAGCACTGACTTAACTCTTGGTTATTATCTTATTGTCATATTTCATACTTTCTGCAAGCAAAAGATTGGAAAATGACATGTTATTGGGTAAAAACTAAAATAAATAGAAAATTTTAAAATATTGTTCTGAAATTAAAGAAGAAAAAAAAAAAAAAAAGAAACTCCACAATCATGAAGCCAGTACAAAATAAAATGTTTTGTCAGCAGTTATATAACAGGAGAAACTGAACGCGACAGTTGTTGATAATTTAT